TCGACCCCTTATAGCACCTGTAATATAAGTTTGCACAAACAAAGTTATATACCATTTAAATAAGAGCGAAAGGAGGACTACGTCTATATTTTTAGGTTTTTAGTTATTTACATGCAATAATTAAATATAATATTTTACCAAAGGTCCTATTTCGAACTTCGAAGGTCCATATCTCGATCTCGAGAAATCACTGTTTTACCTATGACTCAAGTTCTTAAAAAAATTGGTTTGATCTAATAACCAGAAAAAAAGTTGATTTTGCCGTACAGTGTTATATCTACCTGAACGTTCTATCGAAAATGTTTAAAATAGGGATAAAACCAGCCCTGCTTACCATGTAGCGGTAGGTTTCGGAAAGGTGAAAAACATATATTTAATAATTGCACCGGGTATTTATTGTTCGGCTCCGCTGGAACTTAGAATTTTTTACTTGTTTTACTTTTAATTTCAATTGGTTGGTGTTTATAAATCCCATTCGACTAATCACATGGTGGCATATACCAACAGGGTTGCTTATAAAATTTTAACCATGTTGAGTGTTCTTTTGGCGGGTTTTACTATACAGAACAAGCTGTAAACTGCTCTTTTCTTCCTGGTCTACACCAGTATATAAACTCGTGTATAGTAGTGGCCGTCATTGACGTGTTGCTTTAGGTTCTGTACTTAATAAACGCTACAGTTTAGCGTAAACAAAGCACGCCACCGATTGGACACGTTTGGGTGTGCCGGAACACCCACTCCCAAAGTGACCACCGATAGACATCTGCAAGTAATGCAAACTTAATATAGGCTGCACGACATTGTGCACTTTCATTTTTCTTCTCAATTTGGTGGTAATTATTTGTTGCTTGCACGCGACCACGAATGTTTCTAACACTTCCTGTTGTAATAAATAGGCGTATTAGTTACTAAGAAAACGCGAGCGTGGAATGTTAAAATGCTTTATAATCGTAATTATTAAGACCAATTTTACTGCAGGCATAGAAAAATTGGGGTGCAAAGAAATAATTGGTTGGTGGTAAAGAGATGGCAAGTTTTTATGAATTAACTACAATGCTTGTAGGTTTCGTTCTAAAATAAGCAATATGTGTGTTGTTACAGATGTACATAAACAGACGGCCAATGCATTTGTCACTCGACTCTCACACCAGCTCTCAGAGATAGAGAGAGAGAGAGGGAAAAGTCATGTGAGAACAACAATGGCGACCTAGTCACTGCTGCCTCTACTGAATGGTAGCAGCACTGAAAGCTGTGGAGAACACAAACCCAAGCCCCCCCAGTCGACGATGACGGAGCCGATATTCCACCACCTGACTACGACGGGGTACAAATAGCTATGGCGCGCTTGAAACACAACAAAGCTGCTGGAGCTGACAGCCTGCCAGAAGAGCTGTTCAAGTACGGCGGCAAGGAGTTGATAAGATGCATGCATCAACTCTTCTGTAGAATATGGGCAGATGGATGCATGCCCGACAACTGGAATTTAAGTATGCGCTGACCAATCCACAAGAAAGGTGACCCCGCCAACGAAGTTTCAGGCAGGGCGACTCCCTTTCATGTTAGAGAAGATGATAAGAGCTGCAGAATTGAACCGCTTAGGAACAATTTTTTACAAGAGCGTGCAGTTGCTGGCGTACGCCGATGACATTGACATCATATGTAGCACGAACCGTGAAGCCTGTTCTGCCTTTTCCAAGTTGGATAAGGTAACAAACCGATTAGGTCTGGTGGCCAATGACGAGAAGATGAAGCAACTCCTGTTATCAAACAAACAGACAGCGCATTCTCGCCTCGGCACTCATGTCACTGTTGACTGTTATAATTTCGATAAAGTGGAGAATTGGGTTTACTTAGCCAATTCAGGAATCAAGTCCTCTCTCAACGTACGAAAATCACACTCTATAAGTTATTCATCATGCCAGTTCTGGTATATGGCGCAGAAGCATGGTCAATGACAACATCCGATTAAGCGACTCTTGGAGTATTCAAGGGAAATATTTTGCGGAAGATTTACGAGCATTGGCGACGGCGGGTACCACAGAACGAGCGATGAGCTGTATGAGCATTGCAACGAGATGTATGTACATAGTGCACCGAATTAAAATACAGCGGTTCTGAGGGAGACTCCCACTGCGATGGAAAGACCAAGTAGAGAAGGATTTAGCTTCATTTGGCATTTCCAATTGCCGTCACTTGGCACAGAAGAGAAACGACTGGCATGATTTGTTGAACTCGGTCAAAATCGCATAGGCGGTTACAAAATTTGATTTGGACTTTCACCACTCTACATAAAAACATAGACAGACGGCAGAGTTCCCAGATCCGGATTAACGGTGCAGTTAATCTGATTAAAAGGGACAGACGGCAGTAATGCGGATTAACGAGCCGCAAGTTCGCCAGTAGAATGTGAATTTATTTCCTTTTTATTCATTCATTTATTAGTTTTATATTTTTTTGAACGTTGCTTTCGGTTAGATGTTGACTTTTTTAATAAAATTAAACTCTAAAAATTTAAGGTAAATAATAGTAAAATGAAAAATGTGATGAAAATAAAATAAAACAAAAGAAAATAAAATAAGGTAAAATTAAATATATAAATCAAACAAATAAAAATAAAAGAGTTAAATAAAAAATAAAAACAAAAATTTTTTGGCAATCGCTAAAATCGAGGATCGAACCTGGCAGCATGGTTACCGCTTGCCAAAATTTTTTTTCTACCAAAATCTCTCAAGAAAAGTTACCAAATCTTCACTAACAAAATCTTTACTTCTTCACTGAGAAAAAAATATACTGAATAAAACTGCTATATTTCATAACAAATGTGTATATACCTACAGCCCGATTCTGTGCACTTATTTAACAAATTAAATATTTTTATAATATGTCAATTTTTGATTACTTATCAAGAACTCTCAGTTCTAGCACAGAAGTTAAAATCTATTTTCTTAATAAATTATCAAGATTGAAAATCCTATTGAACATTATAATAATTTTTTTATTAGAAAATATTTTTCTATCAACAAATTACTGCATGCGCCGATATTCTCATTTTCATTGTTGGTGTTTCCGATAGGGTAGGAGCATAATGTAATGTCGAACGATTTTCCGTAATCCCTTGCCAAATTTGGTTTGGAGACAAAACCAGTTTCGGCGTTGTGCCACCTTCAGTGTCATTTTTCGTTCGGAATGTGTCGATATTTGAACGAATAATAGCACCGGCTCACAAAAAAGAAGTTGTGGGTGTTTTTAACCGTCCGTTTGACGCGTACACAATTTCGAGTAAATACCGAAAATTACTAATTGGTTTGCTATTCGGTATTTCATAATTTACTGTACGTGTCAAACGGTCCTCAGATTCGGATTCATTGGGTCGAAATACATGTCAGTAGGTGGGTCTGGTAAAAAGTACCCGACATTTTTTTTTGTGCCGGAATAATCAAAACGATTTATGGACTTTACCAAAAATTGCCAGATGGCCGAATTTTGTAATTTTACTGTACTGTTGTTGCAAACAGTATTTCCAGTATTAAATGTGAGATGGTAGAATTCAAAATTTTTGTAGAAGTGTCAGTAGTGCTGCCACTGAAACTCGAAGGATTTTTATAATTACGCACATGCAAAACATAATTCATTTTTTTCTAGTAATGCAAATAGATGTTTGGTTGCAAAAGTTACCAAAATGAAATAAAAGTTACCAAGTTACCAAACCGCTTAAAAGTTACCAATTTTGGTACTTGTGGCAACCATGCCTGGCAGCTACAGACTTCTAGCACGCAACTCTTACCACTCGGCTACCGCGGACGCCAAACTCGCATGCTTTGTTTGCTTACTTGTACAAAAGACAACAGCTGGCCGCTTTTAATTCCCAAAAATTTCGTGCATTTGTTCGGCTGCTTATGCGCATTTGAAAGAGGAAAATGCATGAGTTAAAGCAAATAAAAGCTGTTTATGCAAATAAGCGAGCCTGTTGAAGTGTAAGAATTGCTTCTGCTTGCCGGCAAAGGATTTAAAACGAATAAAGTAAAGACGTTTGAGTTGTATAAAAATGTATTATTAAGGTTTCCTGTTTTACAAACACGTAAGCGCGTAACTTGTACTTTTAAAACATAATTATGAACGGCAGTCGGTAAGTGCTTAAAAAGTCGTAGGTGTTTTCCCCTATAACTGTTTGACAAAATAGCTCGTGGTTAAGAAAGTAGTAGTAGTAGTTAAGGTTTAATTGTACGATTTCATACTTTAGTCTTTAAAGCACGTTGATATCAAGGGCACGGCTTACTTCCTACAATAAGGGCTTTTTAGCTTTACTCCACTCAGGAAAAAGTCATCCAACTATAATGATTTGGTAACTATATATAAGCAAACCATGTGTTGAGAAATACATACGTAACTAAAAGTACGGATGCCAATTATGCACTAGGAAAATATTTTTTAGTTTTAGAAGTATGCGTGCACATTACGGTGGTCCTTAAATGTAGGAAGCAAATTTTTACTTCAGATTTCCTAAGCCTCAACCCCTACATCGACTATAGTATAGTCGAAGATATCACATATAAATTTTGGCAACGTTTGGAGTCGGTGAAGGCGTGTCGCACAGGGGTCAAAGTTCAGATTACTCGGGATCAAAATTTATATGTAATATTCTCGGTTTTAGTAATATCGTTTTTGGTATTAAATGAAAAAAAAATATATTTTTATTTTTTTGACTCCATAGAGGCATCTGTCCTTTGAAGCCTTTGCGACACGCCTTAACCGTCTCCAATCGGGACCAAAATTTAAATGTGATATCTGTGACCGTGGTATTCCCGATTGTAGGGGTCAGACTGAAAAAAATCGTTCATTTGATTTTCAAGGACCACCCTAATATACACACATATTTCAATGAGCCCCCACCCTTTTATGCGTTTTTGTCTGTAATCACCACATGAATTATATGTACTAAGTGTCACATGAAAATATAAAATCTTAATCATCATACTCCAATTTATACTGTTTTATTTTAGAACCCAAATGATGAAGACCACTTACAATTCTGCAAAGTATGCGAAGGTTTTAAAGCTCCTCGTTCACATCATTGTCGCAAATGTAAGTCAATTGTTTCTTTCAAAAGTTTTTGAATTTCATTTATCCTCCCCTTCTTAGGCGATCGGTGCGTTAAAAAGATGGACCACCACTGTCCGTGGATAAATCATTGCGTTGGATGGGCGAATCATGCTTATTTCACCCACTTCCTTACCTTCTCCATTTTGGGCAGTCTTCAAGCGTCCATTATTTTAGGATTCGCCTTCTATCGTGGCGTCCATCGATACTGGTATCTCACACATGGTTACCTTCATTTAGCCACTGTGCAATTCACAATGGCAAGCATTATAATGACCATTATAGCAATGGGCTTGGCTATTGGTGTTGTTATTGCTTTGGGCATGCTTCTTTATATACAAGTAAGTGATTTGTTCCTTTTACAAATGACTACAGAGACTCTAAATAATGACTCTTTATTTAATAATTTTCAGCTTAAGTCCATTCTGCAAAATCAAACTAGTATTGAGATGTGGATTGTAGAAAAGGCTATCTACAGACGTTACTGCAATCCAGACGAAGATGATTTTGTATATCCATACGACTTGGGCTGGCGTCGAAATTTACGTCAGGTATTTAACAGAAGACTTGTAGAAAAAGGAGATGGCATTGTGTGGCCCGTTATAGATGGCTGCGACCAATACACCTTAACGGTAAATACATACAATCATGTACACTTATAATAAATAACTATCGACTTACCTTCTTTTCTTTCAATTCGTTAATGCGTAGCGTGAGCAAATTGCACAAAAAGAAGAGAAGCGCGCGCGTACGAAAACATTTAGGTGCATTCGTCCAGCAACAGGTCGCTTCCTGCCTCTTTTTTCGCAAGGTTTGCGTGTCTGCCTTTCACCACCGTGCACTGATGAGGCACGTATTCGCCTCGAACCCGGTGACGTGATTAAAGTAACCCGCTTCCGTCAACACTGGTTGTTTGGCGAACGTGTTGTACCAGAGGTAGAGTTGCTCCAGCCGGGACTACAGCGCAAGGGGCCGATACGCGGCTGGTTCCCACGTCGTTGTGCCATTGAGCTTATACAGCCCGAGGAATATTACTATGCGAATAGCAGCGATCAATCAGAGGGTGAGGCTGAGACTGGTGGTGAACATCAAAACGCTGCCGCCGAAAATAAAAGAGAAGTAAATAGTGCCCCAAATGGCGTGCCAAAAGTGTCTAAGAAAGCGCTTGCAAATGGAAACAGCAAGCAGCAAACCAAAAATGGTCAAAAAAAGAAAAATAAGTGATGCACAATGTATATGGAACTCTTACATGCGTGCATACATATGTATGTGCGCGAAAAGTATGGAAAATACAAAAGTGCAATTTTAAGTCGCTATGTGGGTGTTGTTTTACATCGTCAGGGGTATTTTAAAGGACATCGGAAACTTAGCGTGTGTCACTCAACTACTTCCAAGACTTTCTTAGTGCTTAATTATAATTTTTATGTAGAAGCCATATACACTATACAATATCTGCAGAATAGTAGATGAGTGGATTTCAATTATGCGGTTTATTGAAATTCTTTGACTTTTTTAAATCTGAAAACTTACATATGTATGTATGTGCGTACATACTGGCAGGTTAATAAAGGCTATTGCTGTTGCAAATGATATTTGAAACATTTCTTATTGTTATAACTTTGATCTAAACTGAGATATTAATAATGGTAAGTAATTTAAAATATTCTCTTAGGCAAAGCGCGTGTTGTCCTTAATTTGAGTACCCAAATTGAAATGTCCATGATAACTGCAAATTGATTTCAATCTATGCATTATAGATACCATTGTGCTTAAATGTCATATTGAAAAATTTTGGAATCGCGCTTTTAAATTTGAGCTTTAAAATTTTATACAAATTAAAAAGTCAGCAAATGGGTGCGCTATCCTAATGGCTTTATTAGTTTTTATAAAACTATCTCGGATGCATTTTTGCATCCTGTACAATTATTGTAGAACTGCGCAACTGCAAACATCTGCTAAGCACCGCCAACTACCACCATAGGCAGCGAACACAACAGATGGCCGGCAGGCAACAAACACCACACATCACCAACACGCCGGATCGCGATCGGTTCCCAAGGCACACGAAGATACTACAGTTTATCGGTCCAAGAGACGAATCCGCATAGTAACTCAACACTGTTGAATACAATGTGCCCCACTTAGATCGCGAAGTGGAGGCTTAGCGTTCATCAGGCATCAAACTGTTCAATATCGTGTTATCGACTCCAGGGATACAATCATAGAATGACAGGGCATATCTATATCCGTTCAGGCGATGCCGGGTTCGAAATATTTAACGTGTATTTATCCACTGTCACTAGCTGCCTGGGAGGATATCACCCTGAAATAGGTGCGCTACGTATGGTAGTTGGTGATTTTAATGCGCTCCGCCTGTCGAACGATCGTAGGGAATGCACTTGATCGTGTGGATCGATAAACCTGCTGTCTTTGCTACCTGGGAACACCGAACCTATATAAACTTCAATAATGCTGATTGGAACGGCTTTGCGTAAAATACCGAGACCACCTTCGCCGCCCTTCCAATACCAATCAGCGTTCATGTAGACGAACGTCAATTCCGCAAAGTTTCAGGGGAAACCTTTCCAATTTTCCCAGATGAAGTGGCTGTTCTAGCAAACGAGCGCGACCTGGGCCAGAAATATACACCTGCTGTGTATGCCGAAGACGATTACACCACAACTCCACCTCAGTCAAGTGTAATGCCTGCGAGGGGTGGAGTCACCTCAGGGTCTGCTCGGGACTACGGACACACAGACAGTGGACCACGTCTTACGTGGCCCCCTGTTGCTCAAACAGAGCAGCCTCCACGGCAAACGATAGTCCGCCCGTGCAGCCCCACACACTTACACAGCAACCACACACAGTCGCCACTACACAACAACATAATAACACCACAGACCGTACCACAGCCACCACATACCTCATAACTCACACAACCGCACCACCACCCACACGCTGCCGCCAACAACTCCTGGTTCCCCCTACAATCTGCACGGTATGTCAGACCAGAATATTCCGTAATGTGACATCTGTCAAGTGCAACACCTGCCTTGGCTGGTGCCACTTTAGGGCATGTTCAGGTCTGCGTACCACGCGAGATTGGACGGGGAATTTCGAGGGCCCGTGCTGTGCTGCTCGGTCGCAGACGTCAATTGCGACGCCCCCCACCACCACCACAGGGCGGCAACCACCTCAGCAGCACACACAGCCAACGGCGGCAAGAGCATACACCTCACTCACACCCCACATCACGACACGTCTCCCGAACCACATGAAGCTCCTCCAATTCAACTGTAACGGCCTACAGAGCAAGATTGAGGAGATAACCGTCTTCATGTGTCGGCATGGTATATTAATAGCTGCGGTCCAAGAGACGAAGCTGCACAGCAATTCAACTTTGTTGAATTGCGCCGGGTACAACGTGCACCGTCGAGATCGCGAGCGAGATAATGGTGGTGGCTTAGCGTTCATCACGCACCACACCGTGCAGTATCGTCTTATCGAAGCAGACATCGACCGCAGGGATACCACCCTAGAATGTCAGGACATCGCTATCCGGTCAGGCGATGTCGAGCTCGAAATATTTAACATTTACATACCCCCTGTCACCTGCTGCCCGGCAGGATATCACCCTGATATAGGTGCGCTCCTCAGAGGTGAAAACCGTATGGTATTAGGTGACTTTATTGCGCACCACGATCTTTGGCACTCAAGCCTGTCAAACGATCGTAGGGGAACAGACTTGGCTGAGCAGATAGACGATTCGACATTCTGCACAATGAACGACGACGCACCCACCAGGATTATGGGTAACTGCAGTAGCTCGCCAGACATCACAATAGTCAGCGCTGGTCTGATAAACAGCATAACGTGGCGACCTATGCTGACTCTAGCATCAGACCATCTACCCATAGTCATCTCGATTGATAAACCAACCGACTTTGCCTCCGCCAAACACCGGACCTATATCAACTTTTCCAAAGCTGATTGGAAAGGTTACGCGGAGTTTACTGAAAACACCTTCGCAGCGCTCCCCACACCAACCGACGTCCACCTCGGTGAACGTAAGTTCCGCAGGGCTATCACTGCTGCTGCAGCTCGCTTCATACCGGCAGGATGTATATCGGACCCACGTCCAAACTTCCCTGCCGAAGCGGCTGTTCTAGCTGATGAGCGTGATAGCCTTCGTCAGGCCGATCCCGGAGATCCCCGTATCAGGGATCTCAACGCGGAGATTCGGCAACTAGTAAACGTACATAAGCGGAAGAAGTGGGAGGAGCACCTGAAGACTTGTAATTTCACCTCTGGTGTGAGCAAGCTTTGGTCAACCGTGAGGTCATTGTCTAATCCTTCCTAATTGTCTAATGCTTCGTCGGACCCGGAGAGATGCGCGAGCTATTTTAGCCGGCAGTTCATACTGCATCCTCCGGTAGACAAAGCCAAGCGTCGAGTGACCAGAAGGCAGCACAAACTGCCAACAAATTGTGCCCCCCTTGCTTTCACTTGCGGTGAAGTTCAGGTGGCCATCGGGAAGGCGAAAGCCTCCAAAACCATGGGTCCCGACGGAATATGCATGCTGATGCTGAAAAATTTGGGTCCTGCGGGGGTAGCGTACCTAACGGAGGTCCTCAACCTGTCAATGGCCACTCTCATCATCCCAGACATCTGGAAGGTGGGGAGAGTGGTCCCACTGCTCAAACCGGGGAAACCCGCCAACAAAGGAGATTCGTATCGTCCGATTACACTCCTTTCCCCGGTAGCGAAGACACTTGAGGCCTTGCTACTCCCGTACTTCACAAACCACCTGACCCCAGCGAAGCATCAGCATGGTTTCCGTAAAGTGCACAGTACAACAACAGCACTTAACGCCATAAACACTCAGATAACTCGTGGCCTTAACCGCAACCGTCCCTGTGAGAGAACGATTCTAGTAGCGTTGGACTTGTCAAAGGCGTTTGACACCGTCTGCCATTCCACGCTGCTAGAAGATATAGAGGCCTCCTCTCTCCCACAGAGGCTCAAACGGTGGTCGGCAAATTATCTGAGTGGTCGACATTCGTCGGTAACATTTAGAGACAAAACGAGTAAACAGCGAAAAATAAAACGGGGTTCCTCAGGGTGGTGTCCTTTCCCCGCTACTGTTTAACTTTTATATTTCACAGCTCCCTCAACCACCAGAGGGAGTCTCGATTGTCTCCTATGCCGACGACTGCTCGATCATGGCGACTGGGAATGGAATTGATGACCTGTGTTTGAAAGTAAACGGCTATCTCTCCGAACTTTCTCGCTTCTTCACTGCAAAGTGTCTAGCCCTCTCCCCTACGAAATCCTCCGCGATCCTGTTCACAACCTGAACGAAGGAGGTCAGGCTACCGCTGGGGATTCACGTCGATGACACACCAATTCCGACGGTGAATAACCCCAAAATACTCGGAGTAACATTCGACAGCCTGCTCTCCTTCTCTGCGCACTCAACCGCTATTGTCAATAAAGTACAGAGCCGCAACAAGGTCCTCAAGTCGCTAGCCGGCAGCACTTGGGGCAAAGACAAAGAAACGTTGCTGGCAACATACAAGGCAATAGGCCGGCCGGTTTTGAACTACGCAGCGCCAGTGTGGTCGCCAGGGACTAGTAGGACGCAGTGGACGAAGCTACAGACGGGACAAAATACGGCACTTAGGACAGCGACGGGATGCCTCCTGATGTCGCCAGAACATCACTTGCACGGCGAGGCGCAAATGCTCCCAGTTAAGGAGCACAACATAATGCTCTGCAAGCAGTTCCTGATCGGGAGCCACAGAAGTGGCCACCCAAACAGACAGCTGCTTGCAGAGGAGCCCTCGCCTAGGCACGTCAGGAGGCATCTATATGAACTGACGGACGAAGTCCAGAGGTTCATTAAGCAACCTCTGGACCCGACAGCGTACAGACAGGCCCTGAACGGCATTCACAGGGACTCAGTCTCGAGTTATGTAGACTCTAGACCTGTGAACGCCGTTCTAGGCATACCACCCCCGGACATTGACGAGACAGAGCTTCATCTGCCTCGGGAGACACGCACTACACTTGCTCAACTTCGCTCCGGCTACTGCAGCAGGTTAAACTCCTACTTGAGTAGGCTGAATGAGGATGTGCCGAACGAATGTCCGGCATGCGGAGAGACCCCACATGACTCGAACCATCTCTTCGCATGCCCGGAAAACCCGACAACCCTAACGGCCCTGTCCCTGTGGACAGATCCCACAGAAGCTGCACGCTTCCTAGGGTTGCCGTTAGTGGAACTTGACGACAACGACTGAGATACCAACCGATCTGGGCGGGGTTGTTGTAGCCGCTACAACAACAACAACAACAACAACCTTTGCCAGGTCGCTGCCAGGAATCCCCTCATCAGACAAAGCTTAACTCCGAGTGGCCAGAAGGCTGCACAAACTGCCAACCTTATGCGCCTCCTGCTGGCCATTGGGAGGGCGAAAGCCTCAAAATCTATTGGTCCCGACGAAATATACGTACTGTAGCTGAAAAAAGTGGGTTTAGCGGGAGTAGACTACCTCACCAAGACCATCAGCATGTCAATGGCCACCATTAACGCCATAAA